GGGAAGGGGCGCGCGCCGCCCGCCGCGCCGCACTTGTCCAACGTGGAGAACCCAAATACCAGTTTCAAACACTTGGGAAACATTCGGCCCCCCGCACCGCGCATGCGCCCCGCCCCCCACGGCCCCCTCCCCGCGGGCCCCGCCCCCGCCGCATCACGCCCCTCACCGGCCCGGCCGCGCGGGGGGTGTGGCTTTGTCTGTCACTTTGGCTGGGGAAGGGGTCTCGGGAACAGGGGCGGCGGGCGAAGCGCAAACTTTACTAGGAGTTTCGCACTTGGAAGCAGAGCCTGTCGGGCGGCAGTGCACGCCCACCGGGGAACGTGGGGAGCAGCCGGCCTCGCCGAAGACCCGGTCGGAACCGACTTAGTCGTGGTACCAATGCCGCCGAGGCCATCGCTCGCCTGGGTTGCCACCTCCCTATCCACACCCAGCCCCTCACTCTCCAGGGCCCCGCCGCGCAGCCGGGCATAAGTAAGGCCCGAAACAGACTGGCAACGCCAAGACCCAATCCGCTCGCCGCCCTCCCTCGATAGCCCAATCAAACCGAAGGAGAGGCGGGACGAATGAGGATAACCCCTCCCACGCTCTTACTACGAGAAACCCGCGTCCCGCGGGGGGCGGAGGGAGGGGGCGCGCCGTGCAGGGCGGAAGTGGTGGCGCATGCGTACTTGCACGGCCAGGGAAGCCATCGGCCCGGGAGGGAGGAGACCTACCATTAGGCGGCCGGACCACCGCTCCCAGCAACCTCAGCGGCTCGCGCGCCTGCGCGGTCCTCACCGCCTTCCCTTTGTGTCGCCGGCTTGAGCCCAGTGCCGAGCGGCTTGGAGACAAAGGGGCCCAAGAGGGGAGTTGCATTCGTAGCCGGGCTCCCGCAGAGGGCGGGCGATTCCGACCCCATCCCGACTGTGCCCTGGGATCCGATCTTATTCGAAAGGCCACTCAGATCGGGGCGGGGCAGGCGTCCGGGACCCGCTCCCCTTGCCATCTCGGCCTCTCCCCTCCCCCCAAGGCCTCTCTCCCCACCCTAAGCTCCCGGATTTGGGTTTTCTGAAAAGCCCCGCGCAGAAGATCCCGTTGCCTAGGCGACGGACCAGCGCGCAGGCCCGCCGCTTCCGGCAGAGGCCCCGCCCCGTGGGCGTGGCCGCGCCCCGCCTTTGTCCTCGGGGCTCCGGCCTCTACGGCCACCGCTAGTGCCTCCGGGGCGGGCCTCCGCTGCAGCGGTCCTGTGCAGCTCGCAGGCTTCCTTCCCCCAGGTGGGCGGGGTGTCCTGTCGGGGTCTCTGATCGTGTAGCTGGCTCAGCTCTACCTGCTCCCGGTCTCTGCGGGCTGAGCAGGTGCCCTGGATCCCGCGGGATGCTCCTCCACAGACTCCGAGCCCGGGCGCTCAACTGCTGTGCAAACTGGGAGTGCTCGGCGAAGGGAGGCATGTTGTCAAGAGGCCAGGCCATTGGCGATTTTTAAATTACTGTATGTTAGGGGCGCCTGGCTGGCTCAGCCCGTGGAGCCTGCGACTCCTGATCTCCATCCAGGCAGTGAGTTCCAGCCCCAAGTTGGGTGTAGAGATTACTTAAAAATAAAATCTTTAAATAAAGAGTAAAGAAAAATAAATTACTGTGTGTAAGCCACTAATATTTCAGATCAGCCCAACTTTTATACAATAGGTTGTTATCCGGTGGTACTCATTCCAGCGATCGTACGGCATTTCGTGAGAGGGATGCCAGTAGAGCAAATGAGACTAAATTGAGCTGTTTTGTCTTTGAAATGGTTGGTTCTCGTTCCAGCGTTGTTGCGGTGATAAACGACGAAGAATGTAGCACTTTGAAGTAAATAGATTCGATCTTCACTCTTAAACCCCTTCATCCCTTCCCCACATCAAAAGAATGCTCGCTTTGATAATTGGGAAAATGGTTATTTTACTTATGGATTCACACTTCTTTCAGTCTTGGCTCAGTTTAAAGCAAACGATGAAGTTTCATTTCATTTTATACAACAAAATGTATTGGCCACTAGTCTGCACGAAAAGACTTGAATACTATGACATTATGTGGCAATAGAAATGGTATGTGGGATATAGGATACAAAGTTGAATAAGAAAAATAATCACTAAAAAATAATTACTTTTCTCTGAGAGCAGACAAAAAATTTTAAAGTACTATTAGTAGATCTTTGCATTTATTGGCTCTAGAATGAGTGTTTGTCTGAATTTAAGAATAAAGGTAAGAAATAATTTACTGCTTCCAGGGATAAGCCAGTTTGAACTAGGGTATATTAAAAAAAAATTTTTTTAATGTTTATTTATTTTTGAGAGACAGGGAGAGGGGGAGGGGGGAGCGGGGGAGGGGTAGAAAGAGAAGACATAATCCAAAGCAGGTTCCAGGCTCTGAGCTGTCAGCACAGAGCCTGTTGGGGGCTCAAACTCAGAAACCATGAGACCTGAGCCCAAGTCGGAAGTTTAACGCACTGCGCCATCCAGGCGCCCCTGAACTAGGTTATCTTTTTTAAAAATCACGATATTAACTGAATAATGATTCCTTTCATGTTTCCATGGTCTTCACAGACACAGAAACAAAAGGTTATCTTAATCATTCAACAAGAAATATTTCGTGAGTGCCAACCAGGTGCTAGCTACTGCTTAGGCCCTGGGGATACAGCAGTGACTAAGGAGCTTACATTCTATAAGATAGTTTACCCTGTGGGCTAAAAAGCCAGAAAATATTTTACTAGCTTTATAAAGTTCTTAAAAAAACATAACAATGACTTAACAGTTTTCTGAACAAGGTTAGAAGACCAATGGCTAAAACGTAACTATGATCGTGCATTTTAAATACACTACTAAGGAAAAGTAATTCTGAAAATACATCGAAGAACCCTGGCTGTTTTAGTTCTGCTCTTTGGGGTGTGTTGCAAGATGGATATTAAATTTTTTTTCTGAATTATATTTCTAGTTTAACTGGTGATACTCAAACTCATGGGAGAATAAAATCAGAAGTGAACATACAGTTTTTGTTTCTTTTCAGGTGCTTAAAAAATACATGCTAACACATTTATTTCAAACTTGAAATACCTTAAACACTGTGCTACCTTATCTACCCTACTTTGGGTTTGCAAGACTTGGCCTTGAAAGCAAAGGTATTACTGAGAACTACATTTTTGGTTGTCATTAAGGACTAGGAAATGGCGTTCAAGATACTTTGAGATCATTATTATTTCTTTTTTTTTTTTTTTTTTTTTTGAGAGGGAGAAAGCGAGCAAGCAGGAGAAGGGCAGAAAGAGAGGGAGAGAGAGAGAATCCCAAGCAGCCTCCACACTGCAAAGCCCAAACCCATGAACCATGAGATCATGACCTGAGCCGAAATCAAGAGTAGGACGCTTAACCCGCTGAGCCACGCAGGTGCCCCTGAAATCATTAATTCTAATATACTTCTTTGTTCTGACCCAGCGTGAGGAGGAGTCCCTCCAAATTAACAGGATTCTCTTTTTTGGGAATATATTTGCTAATCTTCCCAGTCATTTTTACTATACCTGAATATTCAACCTGCAAAAGGAGTTGTATTTTAATTATTCATAATTAATCATATTTTAATTATTCTGTATCATTAAATAGAGGGTTATGCTTATCATAGTTTTGATGATTTCCGGAAGACTTAAGAAAAAATAGAATTGCTGCCAGTTAGGACTGAACATATTACACGACCGGTTTTCTGAAGACAGAAGATCCCATTGTTCATTTCAAAGTCATGTCTTTTCTATGGCCAATTCAAACATGCCAGCTATACAGATTCATGTGCAGGATTTGGTCTTCAGTGTCACTAAATCTGTTTTCAAAACTTCTTGCCTTTCCCGTGAATTCCGTGTGTTGTCACAGATTGCCTTTTGTTCATTTTCCTCTTTTACCGGCACATCTAATATCTGGACCAGAACTTTCCCTAGCAGATATTTTACTGCCCAGATTTCCTCCCACAGGCACAACAGGTGGATTTCACAGAGTAATTCAGCAACCCTTTGCCGAATTTAATCTGCTTACAGTGAGAGAGTTCAAAAAAATTTACAATCTCAAGTACTCAGAAAAATATACGCATTGTACTACAAATAAGAGACAGTAACAAAGGAACCAAAATAGGGATGCAGAGAGCAAGGGAGGGATACCGTGCCAGTAGGACTTTGAGGAGTCAGGGAGCCTGCGCTTAGCACTGAGGGAGAAGTCGCCTAATTCTCAACCACAGGTTCTAAGGCTTCAGCACTATGCATTAGAACAGAGTTGACGTTGGACTACAATTGAGCTTGAAGCAGAATTGCAGAATTAGACTTCAGAGATCTTGAAAGAAAGAAAAAAATAAGGAACATACCATTTTGTCTCTGGTTAAGAATTTTCCTTTCAACTGAATGACCAAAACAAACCAAAAAAAGGAAAGAAAAGAAAAAAAAAAAAACTTAGGGACCTCTGTGCGGTTTTGAGGAATGTAAAAACAAAGGGGATTTCTTTCCTTTTTCTTTCTCTTTTTTGAGACATTGTTTTGCAAGACATCAGTAAGGGTACTTTTGTCAAGACAATATGAAAGCGACTTCAAATGAATCCGCCTTTTAAAAGTCCCACTGAAACCGCAATTCAGATTGTTTTTGTTCTCGAGAGGAGATGATATAGAATGTTTAACCTTAATGAATCCCAAGTAGACACTTCCCAATACTGGCACTTGATGAATGGGGCGGTTTCCAAGCTTTGGTCTTGCATCCGGAGACAGAATGCTGTCTTGGGGTGCAAGTGTGCCTTGTGCTGTTAAGTGGAGACGTGCTGTGTGCGTCTTGGGGTATCAGTATGCTGTGCTGGGGTGCACACGTGCCTTGTGCACATTGGGATCATACGTTGCTGTGTTGGGGTGCAGACGTTCTGTGTTGAGGTGATGTGTTTGCTGTGTGTGCGCTGGGGCACAAACGTGCTGTGTTGGGGTGCAGACGTGCTGCGTTGGGGTGCTGATGTGCTGCGTGTTGTGTTGGGGTGAGACGTGCTTCCTGAACCGGCGAGAAGCCGGAGGCGGGTGCCCGCACGGTGAACTCCGGCACGGGCGGGAGGTGGGCACCGGCCCTAATTCGTCAGCTCACAGCCCGCACGACGGGCTCCAGGGAGAAGAAGGGCCCTCTCCTCCGGACGCGAAGGAACGCCTCTTCCTACCTCCTCCCGCGCCCGCGCCGCGCCCCGCCCCCAGCGCCACAGCAGGCGCCACACAGGCCTGTGGGAGGCGCCGCGGCCGCTTCCCGACCCCGTCTTCGGGGGTTGACAAGGCCGAGGCAGGTCATCTTCCGGAATGGGCGGGCAGGGCTGCGACCCCTTCCGGGATGGGCGTGGCGTGGTCAGATCCTTTTCCGGGTTGGGCGGGGCCTGGGCGTCCGCCGTTCTGGGTTGGACAGGTCACGGAAAGCCTTTTCCGGGGTAGGCGGGATCTGGAGGCCCTCTTCCGGGTGGGCGGCCCCAGTGCGAGTCCCTCCCGGAGTGGGCGTGGCGAGCCTGTCCCGCGGCCGCAGGTCCCCAGGCTCCGAGCCGCGCGCGGGCAGGCCATGCTGCGAGCGTGCGGGGCGGGCGTGGGGCCCCAGCTTCTGCGGGCGGCGCTGGGCCTGGGGGCCTGGCCCGGTCCGGAGCGGGCGGCGTCGGGGACGCGCGGGCAGGGCTGGCTGCAGCCGGCGGGCTACGACACGGGCGTCAAGGTGTACAACAGCCTTACCCGGAGGAAGGACCCCTTGATCGTGGGCAGCGCGGACGCCGCCTCCTGGTAGCCGCCGGGGACCTGGGGGACCGGGGTGCTGGGGACCAGGGGCGGGAAGGACTGTGCGTCGGAAGGTTCTCAGGTGGAAAGCATTCAGTAAGTGACAAGTGCGTGGCGGCACAATTGGAGATACTGTGCTGTAGTCACGGGTACTTGACAGGCTTGGGCTGGGAATCCCCCAAACGTGGTTCTAGGATACCCTGAGAATGTGGTGTCCTTTCTTGCAAGTATGATTCACGTGATGGATTGTAACTGTGTTCCTAGGTATAGCTGTGGACCAACTGTCTATGATCATGCACACCTTGGCCATGCTTGGTGAGTGACCCCAGTTTGATTTTTCACGCTTCAAGCGACCCTTTATTTTGGAAAGAAAGAGCCTTTTGCAGGTTTTTTCCATTTCTCAAGTGGCAGCTTAATACCGAATATAGGCCTGGTGCTGTGGGAAGCACACCTGTTAACAGTCTCTCATTTCGTTCTTGTAGTAGTTCTAAGCGCTCATGCCCATTTCACAGGTGAGGAAACTGAGGGAGGCAATGAGGAGCAGTGATAAATGACCTGTTTTGGAATTAGATGTTTAATGCGATGAGGCCATTCCAGGGGTTAGGAGTCAGCTGGTGAGTTATTTCTGGCCCCACTATCTTCTTTCCAACTTTGGACAAGCCACTTTATTACCTTGAGTCCTGCTTTCTTTATCTTTGCGATGGGGACGATAATTGTATCCGTCTTTTTTCAACCTGCACAATTTTTTGAAATAACGCCCATACAGTGCTGCTTGCAGAGTGCCTGAAGTGTGACGCGTGGTGGGGACTTCACAGTTAGTGTGAGGAACTTCCCCGAGGTCACACATTCAGGAAGCCTGGAGCCTGGCGTCTCTGATCTCCCAGGTACTCGCTTTCTCAACCTGCTAACCATCAGCTGCACTCCTGCCTACCTTTGTCAGAATTGCACTTTTCCTAATACTTTCTATGTTCTCTCATTCGTGTTTTAAACTTGTTGTGTTTCAGACCTAGACTAAAAGTGGAAAGCTCCCTGTACTCACTACACTTTTTAGAAAATCATGTATCACCCAGGAAGTTTGGAGCATTTTTTGTGTTTTGTTAACATCAGTGGTGTGGGAATCCTTTCTTCCTTCACTGTGGGCTAACAGCGTTACTTGTAAAAAGCATATCTTGACCTCTTTATTGAAGTATGAAATATGTTGGGGAAGTATTAAAAAACAAGAACTCTTCCCAACCTGGAAAAACCTCTCCACAAAGGCAGGAGAGAAAGCAAAGTTTATTGTTGAGTAACATTAAATCAGAACGGGACGTGGTCACAGGCAGCCCGCTAACAGGATTGCAAAGACAGAACTCTCAATCTCATAGAGCCAGGTGGGTGACACTTGTGAGATCAGGTGGGGTTTGTGACGTGCAGCCAGATGACACGTCCGGCCCATCCCCCTTCCTTCCTTGATGACTTTATTTCAGAAGGGTGGCTCTTAGCTCTGATGGATGTTAGCAAACAAACGGGGTCCCAGTGATCAATACAAGTTCTGTTTACTGAGCATTGATGCCGCAAACTGAAGAAAGGAAATGTTTCACTATAAAGCTGCTTAGACCGAAGGTCTTCTAGAAGCCATCCGCACAATTTTCCACTTGCCCAGGAAACCTTTCCCCTCTGCATGCACGAGATTACGTTAGTGTGTCATGTTGGGGTTTACACTGATTAATAAATACCTGAAACTCAGAGCGCCTGGGTGGTTCAGTCAGTTGAGCGTCCGACTTTGGCTCAGGTCAAGATCTTGCAGTTTGTGAGTTCGAGCCCCACATCAGGCTCACTGCTGTCAGCATGGAGCCCATTTCAGATCTTCTGCCCCTCCCCTGCTCATGCACGCTCTCTCAAAAAAAAGGAAACATTTAAAAAAAAAATAATATCTGAAACTTTAAAAAAAAAAGGTGGCTCTCAGGTCCTTGAGAGTTTTCTGGTCGTGGGACTCAACAGAGGCTTCCTTAGCCATTAAAACCATCTACATAAAACATTTCATAAAAATTAAAACAAACCTTTTTTTTTTTTTTTTTTTTTAATTTTAGAGCACACATGTGTGCCTGGGAGTGGGCAGAGGGAGGGACAGAATCTTAAGCAGTCTCCACACTCAGCGCAGACCCTGGCACGGGGCTCAATCCCACCACCTTGGGATCATGACCTGAACCCAAATGAAGAGTCAGGTGCTCGACCAACCGACCCACCCAGGTGCTCCTTACATCCATTTTAGAAGGACTGAGGAATTTCTCAAAGAAAGGGGCGGTGGGGGGAGAGCCTGTTTCCTTATTTTCAGCTAGGAGAACCAAGCCTCTTGATTATAATTTGTACTTGCCCTTACAAATAGAGAAAAGAGTACAAATGTTAAGCGTACAGCGGAATGAAGTGTTCATGGCTCTTAGAGGGAGACATGTTACCGACAGCCTAGAAGCCTCCCCAGCGCCCCGTTCGTCAGTCTCTCCCCCCCGCCCCCCACTCCCCTCAAGGATAACCGCTAGGGAAGGCTGGGCTGGGAGACAGAACCCATTCTTCAGGAGTCCTTCAGGATGTCCCTGGGGGTGGAAAATCTAAGAACTACAAGATTCTGAAGATATGAGGTCGTACAGGCAGGGAGGGGCAGGCCTGGCTCCACTGCCCCTAAGGTAAAGTTCGAAGTCTTGAGGTCGTCTCTGCAGTTCTATAAGCCTGTCCCGACTTACCGTCCAGGCTCACGTCTCCCCACCTTCCTCCCCAGGTAGCCACACTGGCCTCTACTGAAAAAGACGTGTACCGGGCACCTGGCTGGCTCAGTCAGTATGTGTTTGCGACTCTTGATCTCAGGGTTGTGAGTTCAAGCCCCACCTTGGGCATAGAGCTTACTTAAAAAAGAAAAAGAAAGAAAGACGTGTAGTTAACAGACACAACACCTGCTCTTGCTGTGTGCCAGGCTCTGCTCTAAATGCTCTGCAAACACCAGCCACTGTAACGCCCTAACGGCACCGGATAATGGTGCTGTGATCCCCCAGCTACAGACAGGGACATGCTGGGAAGGGGCTGACATCGTGGACATGGAGTGGCCCCTGGGGGAGTCATGTACCTGTGGCCTCAGTGCCATGAAGCCCTTAAACTCCTCAGAGCCAAGCATGTGACTCTTTTCACTTTGTGCTTCTTACTTTTTCTCTGAAATCTCACTGCTTGTAGGGTCTTTCCCTGTTCAAGCCGCAGGAAGGGCATGGTGACGCCTGTAGGAACTCGTGCTGCACAGGCTTCAGGATCACGTCCAACAACCCCATGGGGTGGTGGGATTTTGCCCAGTTTCTGAGTAAGCAGTTCAAGCCTTCAAATGATTAAATATCTTGGCAAGGAGTTTCTGACATCGCTTTGTCACCCAAGCTGCGTTCAGGGAGTGGGGGTGTGGCAAGCCGAAGGGGTGTGATAACAGGGCTCGTCTTCGAGGGAAAAGGATGTTTGGAACTTAGAGAGGTTGTGCGGATGACAGATGAGCGTGAGACTACCTGACCTTGAGCTTTAAGGTTGCTTTTATGAGAAGCCAGATTCTTTTTGCAATTTATATCCAAGTTAGTTGGCGTTTAGTGCAATAATGATTTCAGGAGTAGATTCCAGTGATTCATCCCCTACTTATAACACCCAGTGCTCATCCCAGCAAGTGTCTTCCTGAATGCCCCTTACCCATTTAGCCCGTCCCCCTACCCACCTCCCCTCCAGCAACCCTCAGTTTGTTCTCTGTATTTAAGTGTCTCTCTCTCTCTCTCTATTTTTTTAATGTTTATTTTTGAGAGAGAGACTGAGTGTGAGCTGGGGGGAGGGGCAGAGAGAGAGAGAGACACAGAATCCGAAGCAGGCTCCAGGCTCTGAGCTGTCAGCACAGAGCCCGACACGGGGCTGAAACCCACAATCCATGAGATCGCGACCTGACCCAAAGTCAGACGTTCAACTGACTGAGCCACCCAGGCGCCTGTGAATTTAAGAGTTTCTTATGTCTTGTCCGCCTCCCTGTCTTTATCTTATTTTTCCTTCCCTTTCCCCATGTTCATCTGTTTTATATCTTAAATTCCACATGTGAGTGAAGTCATATGATATTGTCTTTGACCAATTTCACTTATCATAATGCCATCCAGTTCCATCCACATAGTTGCAAATGGCAAGATTTCCATTCATTTTGATTGTTGAGTAATACTCCATTGTATATATATATATATACCACATCTTCTTTATCCATTCATCCATCGATGGACGTTTGGGCTCTTTCCATACTTTGGCTATTGTTGATAGTGCTGCTATAAACATGGGGGTGCATGTGTCCCTTCAAAACAGGACTCCTGTAACCCTTGGGTAAATACCTAGTAGTGCGATTGCTGGGTCGTAAGGTAGTTCTATTTTCATTTTTTTGAGGAAACGCCATACTGTTTTCCAGAGTGTGAAGCCAGATTCTTGACATTTAAAATTTTTTTTTATGTTTATATATTTTTTTGAGAGAGAAAGAGAGCGCGTGAGCGCAAGCTAGGGAGGGGCAGAGAGAGGGGGAGAGAGAGAGAATCCCAAGCAGGCTCCATGCTGTCAGCACAGAGCCTGACGCGGGACTTGAACTCCCAAAATGTGACATCATGACCTGAGCCCAAATCAAGAGTTGGACATTCAACTGACTGAGCCACCGGGCACCTCCAGATTCTTGACATTTTAAATGGCTCTTGAACCCTTTTGGTTTTATAAGTTTGAGTTGCCCCAGTGTAGCCCACGGATAAGCCGATGTGTTAATATTCTATGATAGTTTTACACGTTCTTTAGGAGTGACATCGTACAGCTTTCATTGTACTTGCCTCGATTTGTTGTTACTGCTGTTTTGCCATAGCGAAACATTACAGTTACTCTAGAACATGAACTGGGATGGTAACAGCTCTCTGTATTTTAACCACCTAGTGCCATTGTATCAGCGGTGAATTTTTATACAATCCAATGGATGTAAGCGCACTTACCAGCTCCAACGTTAAAAGTGCTAATACTGCACCTGACATTGAGGGGATGCCTTTGTTAGTTTCTCACGAGGACCCGTGTGGGCCCTTCTCCTAGCTGCACGTGAGCTGTCCATTCTGTCACACACCCGACTGCTCTGTGGCAGCCTGTTAAAATGTAAGGCGCTCCGTTTTAAAGATCACAGCGGTGATTTTCTGCATTAAAGACGCCCTAATACTTACTTCCTTGCAGCTCATATGTTAGATTCGATATCATTCGAAGGATCCTCACGAGGGTTTTCGGATGCAACATCATCATGGTGATGGGAATCACGGACGTGGATGATAAAATCATCAAAAGAGCCGGTGAGGTAAGCGTCGACGACGACCATGTTGATCGTGTGAGTGTTCTGATCCCTGCGTGGCAGTGCCGTGGCTGTTGCACACGTGTGTTTTATGTCTCACTGTCCGTGTGCGACCGAGCGAGGATGTGCTGACAGGTTCTCAGAGGAATCCCTGTCCCGGTAAAAGAGGCCTGTTCGATTCTGGTCGCCAAAGCCTTTGATGCTGAGTCTCGCTCTGTCCCGGTCTCCTGCTTGAACCTCATCCTTTTCCTGGCCCCTCGGCCCCCCAGCCTCCTGTGCAGAGGGAAGTCAAGGGCCGCTTTGGGCTAGAGAAACTGAGCTCATGGGAGGCTGAATTTTCCCACCTGTTATGTGTGAAGCGAACGGGGCACTTACAACTCATACGGTATTTAGGGGAAGTTTTTTGGGGGGAGGTTTTAACTGAGGGGTTGAAGTTAAATATTATAGTTAAATTTTTAAAAGTCGACTTTCAAAGGTTTGTCTCTTCTGCTTGTCATAATTAGCAACTTTAACAATTATCTCTAAAGATCTGTAAAGCATTGTTAAATGGTCCAATCTGTTCAAAAGCCTACACAGAGCATGTGACATTCCTGTTGTTTTAGAAGATGTATGTATGTACTGAACACTGTATGTGCTATTTTTTTTCTTTAGGAAACCAGCTTATAATGTTTTATAGTCTGCTTCCTCCACTTAGTGTATTTTGAGAATTTTCTTCACGTTCTTAAATATTCTCGAGCATTTTTAAATAGCCTTGTAACATTCCATCACATGGACGTATCATAATTTATTTACCGTTCTTAGTTTTGGACTCTGAAGTGCTTCCATAGTCAAACTTACTTTCTAGAAACCACATCTCCCTGTTTCTCACAACTTGCCTTTTTTTTTTTTTT